TGAATCAGGGCGCGCAGGAGAGGCAGCGGGCAGCCGAGGAGGAACATCTCCAGGAGAAGCTCGAGCAGCCAGTACGAAGCCATGAATACCGAAAGCCCCATAGAGCGAGCACGCGCGAGTCGATTGGCAAGGAGACTACATAGACCAGCAAGACCACGAGGTAAGGCGCCAACATAGGGTAGAACCGTCGCCCTCTTCCGTTTCTTGGCATGGTCGCATAGCCATTCACGATTGTTGTCTCATGATGACCACCGATCCGACAGCAACCCCTTGTACATCCAGCCAAGTAGCCGAGGAAAACGAGAGAGCCGAGGTAGTAGAGGGCTCAACGTCGCACGTGGCGTGCACGAAGTGCGCCGCACACGCCGTGCATCAACAGATCGACGGAGCACCACAACATGGGACTCATGAGGCTGCAGTTGTGGAAAACCCTCCAGGGCACAGCGGGAAAGGTCACGTTTTGCCCTAAACTCCAAAAGAACACAATGACACACTGAGGGCTACCCCAGATAGTACACCATCAGATCGGTCGGGAGGCCTTGTAGCTCGAGAACGATCCCGAACGCGCTGACCAGGGATACCCAGCAGTAGACAGACAAGGCCAGGAAGACATCCGACGTCGCTACACGAAAGGCCCCCGGTGGGACCGCCGGCTCAGACGTGACCAGGGACGCAGACGGGAAGGCCCGCGAGCGTCGACCCCCCCTCACCAGGCAAGCCTCAGATGGTACCGCTGACTGGATGGACTGCTTCAAGAGCACCCATCCCGACGCAATAGCCGTTGCGCCGCAGTGCTCATGCGCCTGACCCGCATCACACGACACCGCACTCGCGGCCAAGAATGCGCAGCCAGACCGACGACGATGACGTGGGGGGGCAGCGAGGAGACTCACGCGGAGGGAACGAACATCGTCAGCGGCGAACCTGGTCAAAACATTCACATCCAGCACCAGGCCACTTCAGAAAACACCGAGCAGCACGCCCGCTCATGCGGAAACCATGCATGCCAGAGGAACCTGCGGTGTCAATTACCCGTCTGCAACAGCTGCGGGCTACTTTCCTGCTAAGCCCGCCACCCTCCTCCGAGAACCTCTTTGACTTCGCAATCGGGAACACGATTGGAGGGCGGGATGTGGTCAGAGGGCGTGGAAGCCGAGATGGGTCACGGAGCCACGGGGGGAGGGCTGACTGTGCTCTTGCCCACTGCGGGCAATGTCTTTATCCACATCCAGTGCGTCTTGGAGTTTCGGACTCTCTTCCCAAGAAACATGAGGCGCACTGGATATGGATTATCATATGCCTCCAAAAGGCTCAATTTTTATCCATATCCAGTGCGCCTCGGCCTTGCGGCGCCCCTTCCAAGAAAGTCCAAGACGCACTGGATATGGATATAAATATTGCCCGCACCCACGCCCACGCGCACACGTCTTCGCCCCACACACCAGGACGGTGCTTCCACGCCGCACCCTCAGAACTCGACCGGAACAGATGGCGAGTTAGGTCGGGCCCGCTCGCAGACCCGACACGATCGGCATTCTTATCGTCACCGATGATGACACACTGATCTGCCTCGTCCAATGCAGCTGCCATCGCCTGCCCGAGCTCTGCCCACGCAGGCGGTGGCTCGCCGTGGCGGCGGGCCCGAGGCACGCACCCCCCACGGAGGAGGAAGAGGAGCATGCCGAGGCCGCCGATGCGGAGCGACTGCCCGGTGTTGGCCACTGGCTCGGGCCCGCCGCCGTGCACGGAGAGCTCGGGCCAGCACGTGGCCCAGTACTTCAATAGTGGAAACAATTGGTCTTCAAAATGTTTGGTCTTTCGAAGCTCTGCGTGGCGACGCCCCCGTCGCCACGCGTGCCCCGTGCGTGCCTGCGGGGGCGCCGCCACGCAGAAGTACTGGAGACCGAGCATTTGGGGCGTCGCTACGCACGCCCTCTGCGTGGCTGCGACCATTTATTGAAACCCTAACACCAATTAAATTCACTAATAAAGTACGTGCGCGGTGCAGCTGAGCGCGATGGGTGCCGACTCGCCGGCCCCAACTGTCGACACCTGCCGCGCACTGAGCCACCAGCAACTTAGCTGGAGACCACCGTGGATGACGCCACACACCTCGTAGGCAACGGAGACCACGAGGAGGAAGAGGGCACGAACACTGCGTCGGTCGAGGGAGGTCCTTCACCGTGCAGGTGCGGCAGAAAGTCGAAACATTGACCGTGTCCTTCCACGTCGGTTGGCGGCCAAACGCGAGCCTGAGCCTGCTGCGGATCCGCCTCCGAGAGTCCTCGAGCATTACTTAAGATACCTAGCGCATAACTTCCAAGCGAAATCGTTTCAAATGCCGCCCTCGCTCCAGCTCGCAGGGAACCGCCATCGGCGGGAGACGCACGCGTGGGAGTCGAAGGCGCCTGAGCATGGCATCGATCAGCTTGAGTGCGCGAAGTGTGCGATTGTGCGACTGGAGAAGATCAACGACCAAGGTCGCGGCCCACACCACACATGAAGCCAACTGCTACAAAGGCCACCGCGGCGTCCGAAGAGGAGGACGCGGACGGACGTGCAAGCCACGCCAAGAATATACCAATTCTTTGACGCCCAAAAAACCATAGCGGGCCCACTTCGCCCGCGTCGGCAAGACGTTGGCGCTGCTGTGCCACGTAGAGGGTTGGTTGAGCAAGGAGCCGCGCCAGACAATGCACCAAGAAGGAGATCAACAAGAGGAACGAGCCGCGTTCAGGAGCGACGAGACGGGATACCATCTGGCTGCGCAGACTGGAGCCACGGGGATACACGAGCACGGGATATCCGTGCACGCCCCCAGCGTGGCGGGCGTCTGCGGGGAGAACGGTGGAGTCGATTAACCTTGTAGCAGATAGTCTCCTCTGGCCGCCTTCTGCTCAGCGCCTGGCGAGGAGTCTGCCCGGTTGCAGAGGGGCCGGAAACGTCGCACCATCAAAACCTCATAACGATATGCCGCGGAAGCCGTCGGCATGAAAAGCACCAGTAAGAACGCGAGGTCACCGAGGCTTCTGCGGAGAAGAGCGCACCTGGGTCGGTTGCCGTTGGGATGGACAAAAAATGCACCTGAGATGATCGGATAATCTGCCTGCAACTCCAGAAATCCGGGCAATCTGCCTGCGATGAATGAAATCGACGCCCCTCGCGCACAATGGGCAATGCGGCCACCTGAATACAAATGCCTGCAGAGACAAAGCCATTCCGCTGGGAGCAGCCGAAGTACATTTGCTGCCCACGACGGTATTGAAGCCAGCTGGAGAGCACGGAGAAGACGTAAGATACCTGACACTATCATGCTATTCGCCACTGCCTAGAAGGGAAGCTGCCCACGAAGAAAAGGCTTCCTCCCACTGCGAAAAAAGTAAACCTCCAAGGTGGTACAATAGCATTGAGAGGGTCGACAACGCCGTCGGGCTGGAAAGTAACGACCAAGCGAACGCAACGGTATCCTGAAATCGATCCACAGGTAGCTTGGGAATGTGGGACGAGGCAGTACTCTGGATGAAAGCTTCTGCCGCGGCGATACCGGCTGCACTCTGGGTTGGACGAGGGAACTCGAAATGTGTAGGGTGTAGTTCAGCCTTCGCACCAGCAGCATCCCCATGGCACGGAAAAAAGACGATATATACCTATACGACCACCCTGCGGGTGATAAGGAGGTTGGGGGGGGAGGGGCCCAGCAATGGGCAACAGTGGTGAATGCTGTTGTGACAATGCCAGTGGAGATAGTTGCGTTGCCGCTCGCTCTTGGGAGCGTTGGTGTCGAGTTGTTTACGTCACCCTTTGCTCTTTGGCGCCTTGGTACCATTCGGCCCTCCCCCTGGGAACCTGCCCAACTTGCGCAACGGCAGCTAACGGCGCCATTTGGCCACAGAAGACTGAAGCAGCTTCGACCCCCAGACTGGACCCTTGAACCCTGGGAGGCCCTGAGCGCCGAGGACCCCCGGGCCCGCAAGGCCCCTGGGACACCCGCACCAAGGCCCCTGGGACACCCGAGCCCCCCGGACCCCGACCCAGAGTGCTCGGGGCCCTGCCTGTGGACGGCGGTCGCGCAAGGCACGACCAACAGCCGCGAGTCCACGTCGTCATCATCATCATCGACATCACCATCAACATCATCATCATCATCATCATCATCATCATCATCATCATCATCATCATCATCATCATCATCATCATCATCATCATCATCATCATCATCATCATCATCATCATCATCATCATCATCATCATCATCATCATCATCATCATCACATCACATCATCATCATCATCATCATCATCATCATCATCATCATCATCATCAATGTCGTCATCATATCACAAACATCAACACCATGAAGGCCATCATCACCATCAGCATCGCACAATCGATCTCACATTCGGTCTCACTACCGATATCACAATCGATCTCGCAATCGACGTCATCATCATCATCATCATCATCATCATCATGATCAACATCAACATCATCATCATCATCATCATCATCATCATCATCATCATCATCATCATCATCATCATCATCATCATCGCCATCATCAACATCATCATCATTATCACCATCATCATCATCATCACCATCATCATCAGAATCATCATCAGAATCATCATCATCATCATCATCATCATCATCATCATCATCATCATCATCATCATCATCATCATCATCATCATCATCATCCTCATCATCGGGACACCGACGGTACACGGACGGGACACCGGCGGAACACCGGCGGGACACCGCGCCGCCCCGGCCGCCCTGAAGGGAATCATTTCGTCCGGCCGCGCCTCAGCCACACGGGACACCAGCGGGACACCGGCGGGACACCGCGGGCCACCGGCCGCCCGGAAGGGAGTCATTTGATCCGGCCGCGCCTCAGCCACACCGGACACCAGCGGGACACCGGCGGGACACCGCGGGCCACCGGCCGCCTGGAAGGGAGTCATTTGGTCCGGCCGCGCCTCAGCCATAGGAGACTTTCTCTCGCCCGCCCACGCAGCTTCGCCTCGCCCGCACGGCACGCACGAACACGAAACCGAAATCGATTTCCCGGTAGGGGGGCTCTCCGTTCCACTTCGATCTCACCCCCCAACCTCCGATAATCAAAAAAAGAAGAAGAAGAAGAAGAAAAAGAAGAAGAAGCCACTGTCCGATAATATACCGTAGGCTCGGTATCCCCAGCAGTCGTCCTGGCGCTCCACCTCGAGGGGCGGGTCGGAGAGCGGGGAGTCGGGATTCGTGCAAGGCTCTGGCGAGCACTTCCACGCAAGCGGGCGCCACCGGCTTCCCGCGGAAGAAGACGCCGGGGAGCATGGCGGAGGAAAACACACACACACACACTGTGGGGGAAAAAACACACACACAAAAAAAAACACTGTTGGAACAAAAACACACTGTGGGAAAAAAAAAAAAAAAAAAAAAAAAAAAAAAAAAAAAAAAAAAACGCACACACACACACACACACACACACACACACACACACACCTTAAACAAAAAACACACACAAAAAAAAAAGATACAAAACACATAAAACGAACAAACAAAACCAAACTAATTAAACATACAAAAAAAACACATGTGGGTCTACGCCGACCTCTGGTTCTGAGGACGGCGTTATGAGAAGAGGTGCCGACTGCATCGCCAATGTATAGACCCGATCGTCGTAGGATCTGTGCAACAACTCTCTGCACCAAACTGTGAAGCGTAGTCTGCACGTGTCGTCAGCAACCGGAAGGTGTCCACTGAGGTCGAACAACCCTGGGACTGCAAGAGTATCCACTCTGCGCGCTCTGGCACTGGTTGCCATGCCAGGACGGCGTCGGAGAAAGATAGTCGGGTGGTATGCACGAGCGCGCTCGCAGTGAAGGAGTCCGCGTCCACACCGTCGGCGTCGGGGCCTGGCCTGTGGGCGGTGATACGGAGGGTACAACTGGCGGAGAGTATGGGGTGTCTAGAACGGTTTTCTCTCCTGGACGCTGCTCGGCGAGACGGTCCGAGTCTGGCGCCGTGAGCACCGTGCGGGCCCCTGACTCGCCCGAGCTTGAACGTCAGTGGCAGCAGCAAACGACGGGAAACGCACGCACACGCTCGGGGAGAAGGGAATGAGGACGAAATACGCTGACGAACTTCATCGACTCGAGAGGGGGAGGGGGAGGAGGGGGAGGAGGGGGAGAAAGAGGGAGAAGGGGGAAGGAGGGAGAAGGAGCAGCAGCAGTAAAGAGGGACAAAGGAGAAGGCGGGCATGACCTGCATCGCCCTGTCCGCGACGTTCTTCGACATGTTGGCGCAGAACAGCTTGACGCCGTCGGCGTCTAGGCCGTTGCCCGTGGAGTCGAGCTTGAGGTGGCGCGCCGTCTCGTACACGTAGCTGCGGCCTGCCATGTACTCGGCGTACGACTCGGCAATGAAGCGCTGTATCTGCCCGAAGTGGTTGAGCGACTGCCCGAAAGCCTTACGATCCTTGGCGTACCTGGGGAAGCCAAAAGGCTTCGATACTAGAAAAAGAAAAAACGCCATAAACATTAACTTTTGGCGCTCTGCGCGGATTTCTTGGATCTGCGCTGGACCCCCCTCCCTGGCGCGCGGAGCGCGGCAGGGGCGGCACCGGAGGCGCCGACGGAGGGGCCCAGTGCGGATCCAAGAAATCCGCGCGAAGCGCCAAAAGTTTATGTTCATGGCGTTTTTGGAGTCCCGAAACGGTGCGGTGACAAACCGTGCGGTGACCTCGAAATCCCCCAAGACCTCACCGCACGGTCCGTCAACGCACGGTTTTGGGACCCTGGAGGCCCCTGTCGCCCGTGACGTCCTCGGAGAACGACCCGAGTCCCAAAACCGTGCGGTGACCCCGAATCCCCGCCGACTCACCACACGGTGTGGTCACCACCCCGACTAGGGGCCCCCGAGCGTTGTTTCTAATTCGAGATACCGCTACTCCCCGGACCTCTCCCGGGGTGCGTTCTGAGCAAGATTTCGAGGCGAAGCCAGCGGTGGCGACGAGGGCCTCGCAGGAGGCCGAAGTAGGGGGAAAACGGGCGAAGGGTGGCGGTATGGGTGCCTTTTCCTCCTCTGAGTACCTGTTCATCTCCTCGATGCTCCGCCGCGCGATGCCGAGGCCCATCGCGGCCAGGGTCACCCTCTCGATCTCCAGGTTCCTCATCATGCACAAGACCGCGCCGCCCTCCTTGCCGACCAGATTCTCGGCGGGGACCCGGCAATCCTGGAAGACGAGCTCCGCGGTCATGGACGCGCGCATCCCGCACTTGTCGTGGATCTTCTGCCCGAGCGAGAAGCCAGGCGTGCCCTTCTCCACCAGGAAGAGCGACAGGTCACGAGAAGTCTTGGGGGTGTGCCAACACCAACCGATGCCGACCGCGGCCGGGCCGACACAGGGCCCGGGCTCGACGCACACACACCTGGCCTGGCCAGGGAGGTCGTATGCGCACAAGCACCCTGGGCCCACAATTGGCCTTGCCAGGATCGGTGTGGGTGTGGGTGCGCGTTCCTACCAGGATGGCTCGGGCCATGGTTCCTGCCACCACGCCAACCGCTCCACCGCGAGCGGTCTCCGAAGCTGGGGATCCCCGCAGGCTGCCCTGGGCGTATGCGATCTTGAATCCCTGTGCTCGCCGCACCACCATGCCGAGACAAGACGACCTCGGACGTGCGGCGGCGTGATGGTTTTGTCACGGCGAAGGCCTGGAGCTCTCGACCCTGTCCTTGGCACTGGCTCTTCTCACTCGCTCACTCACTCGCAAGTCGTACGCCGAAAGGCGCGTCGTAAGACGAAGCCAGGACGAGGACGAATTCGGGTGAGGAGAAACCGAGAATCTCTGAGATCCCGCGGCGCTGGAGGATGTCTCTGGCCCCGTCCGAGAGAAAGCGCGCAGAGACGCAACTTGGATATTCCTTCGCACGCGGGCCCTGCAGCCAGCCTCGCGAGGAATGTGCTCTCCTGTTGCGGCAGCGTGCTTGGCGGCCCGACTCGCCCATTCGTTCCTCGGGCACCCAGCCTTCTTTAAAAAACATCTCCTCCTCCTCCTCCTGCGCTCGTACCACGGCGGACAGCTCCCTCATCCTCTGCTACTACTACTACTACTACTACTACTACTACTACTACTACTACTACTACTACTACTACTACTACTACTACTACTACTACTACTACTACTACTACTACTACTACTACTACTACTACTACTACTACTACTACTACTACTGCAATTGCGGGGCGGGCCTTGCCCGCTTCGCAATTGCAGTAGTAGTCCTCCTCCTCCTCCTCCTCCTCCTCCTCCTCTCCTCCTCCTCCCTCCTCCCTCGCCTCTCCTCCTCCTCCTCCTCCTCCTCCTCCTCCTCCTCCTCCGCCTTCTTCAACAGACCTCTCTCTGAGGCCGACGCGCGCTCCCCGAGGAGGAGCGCGCGCCTGCGTAGCTCGCCCCGGCCACTCTTTGCTGAAGGGGCCCTGGGGCACACAAATATCAATACACACAAAGAAAAAGATCCCCCAGATTTTCCCATATTTTCAGGGTTTCTGTCTTCCCTCCCACTTCCCATATTTTCGCATTTTCTCTGGGAGGCGACGAATAATTGTGTCTGTGTGTGTTTTCCCCTCCTGATTTGTGGAGGGCCCCGGGGCACAAAAAAGGCACCAGTGGAGGACGAACGCTGTGAAGAAGCCGCCTGCTGTGATATTTCAGTCGTGGCGCCAGAGGCCCTGGAGCCAGCCCTGGCTGCCGCACCGAGGCGCCACGAATCTGCCGCGTGGGCACGTACGGAAGTCTGCAAAGCCATCCGAGAGCACCCGAAGATCTCCCGAGCCAACCAAGCACGCTTCTCAGGCAACCACATGCTAATGAGGAAAATCAATAAGAAACTTTAACATAAACGTTTTTGCGCCCTCCTCGTAAAGGCCGCGCATTCGCTCGTAAGGTGATGTAGATTTCGCAGTCTCGGGGGTGAATAATTTTCACATAATGGGCATCGTGGACAGCGCGAGAAACGTTGAAGCGCGCCCTCTACTGGGCGCGGTACAGTGTGAGTGCAGGGTTCACATGGTGTGAACCCTGCCCCTCCAAGGCACATCTCTGGAAAGCCAAATGGGGCTCAGAGCTTGAAGAATATCTGCAGCCAAGATAACCCCAGCGGGCCGTTTTCAAAATGTGGCTCTCGCCTTATCGCCGCGCACATTCGTTAAAAATAATACAAGGGTTTCACGGATTGACGGCGGCTCGTTTCAAAATGTTGTTCTCGCATCAGCGCTACGTACATTCGTTTTGAAAAGTTGCAAGAGTTTCACGGATGGATGGCTCGTTTTCAAAATGCTGCTCTCGCGTTAGCACCGCGAACACTCGTTGCAAAACATCGCAAGAATTGCACGGATTCCCATGGCCAACGTACCAGAAGCCATGTTTGGGAAGAACTCCAGAGTATGAGGGCGCAACGGTTACGTGGATTCGCGGTGTTGAAGTCCCAGGAATGGTTCTCTGGCACAATTCAGGATCGTCAAGACGCAACAGTCACGTTGATCCGTGGCGTTGGAGTCCCGAGAATGGTGTTCTGGCATGCTTTAGGGTCTTCAAACGGTTGTCTCCCAACGAGGCAGTTCCCTGTGGGAATGAACCCTTGCAGGGGCCTATGAGAGAGCTCGGAGGGAGGGTTTTTACTCCAACATCGTTGGTGAGTCTTGGGCTTACACTAGTCCTCCTGTCCCTCTTCCTCCTCCTCCTCCTCCGCCTCCTCCTCCAACTCCGCCTCCTCCGCCTCCTCCTCCTCCTCCTCCTCCTCCTTCTCCTCCTCCTCCTCCTCTTCCTCCTCCTCCTCCCTCAAAAAACAGCCTCGCCTCCTGCAGGAGACCCAAGAAGGGCCCAGGGCCCTTCAAAGCCTGGGCCCTCGATCCTGGAGGCGGGCGTCCGCAAGGCGCCCCTCCGGGCCTCGCCCGTGCGAGCGTAGACCAGGTAGCAGTCGCCCGTGGTCTCGCCGTCGAGGGTGCCGTTCGTGATCCACATCTTCGCCCCGTTCAACACGTAGGAGCCGTCCGCCTGCCAGGGGGGGGGGGGGGCAGAGCACGGCGCGCTGCGGCTGCCGGGCCCATGGCCAGCCGGCATCCCACCCCCTCCTCCTCCTCCTCCGCCTCCTCCTCCTGCTCCTCCTCCTCCTCGTCCTCCTCCTCCTTCTCCTCCTCCCTCTCCTCCTCTTCCTCCTCCTCCCCGTCCTCCTCCTCCTCCTCCTCCTCCTCCTCCTCCTCCTCCTTGCCCGCGTCGTCCTCATCCTCCTCCTGAGGGAAGCGGGTCCCCGACCCTGGGGCCTTCTGTCGGGATCAGCTCTTCCTCCCGACTCGTGGCTCTCATTGGGCGGCCCCTGGGCCCAGGGAGGGCCGGCCGAGGTATCGGCGAGAAGCTGCTCAGGGCCCGGCTCTCGGCGAAGCACCTCAGGACCCGACTCTCTCGGGTCCCGCTGGCTCCGCGGCGGGGGGGGCGCTCTCCCGAGAGGGCCCCGCCGCTCGTCATGTGGAGGGGTCTGGCCTCCTCCTCCTCATCCTCCTCCTCCTCCTGCTCCCCCTCCTCCTCCTCCTCCTCCTCCTCCTCCTCTTCCTCCTCCTCCTCCTCCTCCTCCTCCTTCCTGCCTCCTCCTCCTCCTCCTCCTCCTCCTTCCTGCCTCCTCCTCCTTCGAGGGCGGCGCGGCGTCGTTGACGACGCCCGTCCGCCTGCTTCTTGGCGGAGGTGCTCAGGCCGAGCACGTCCGTGCCTCGGCGGCGCGCAGCAAGGGGGGCGGGGCGAGGGGGGGACTGTCTGCCGAGGGGGCGGGAGGCCTCTCGTAAAGGGCTCTTTGGGACTTCCCAAAGGAATTCTCAAAAGGCGGGAGGGCTTCCAAGAGGCCTCCTCTCCCCCTCCTCCTCCCCTCCTCCTCCTCGTCCTCCTCGTCCTCCTCTTCCTCCTCTTCCTCCTCCTCCGCCTCCTCCTCCTCCTCCTCCTCCTTATCTTCATCATCATAATCATCATCAGCAGCATCATCATCAGCAGCAGCATCAGCAGCATCATCATCGTCATCATCAGCATCATCACCATCACAATCACCAGCACCACCACCATCATCAACCGCAACAACAACAACAAAAACAAAAACAAAAACAAAAAACGATGACGATGACATCAATAGCAACAACAACAACAACAATCAGAAACAACAATCGCAACAACAGCAGCAGCAACAACAACACTCACAACAACAGCAATACCATCAACAACAACACTAGCAGCAGCAGCAACAACAGCAACCAAAACTTTAAGACTGCTGGCTCTAAACTTCTCGCGTGCCATCCAGCACGAATATTCCAAACGCTCGGTACCCGCCCTCTTCGTCTTGGATCGTACGTCCTTTGGGGCTATATCTTCCTTATCTGCCACGCGCATGTAATGCAGCCCCTAAAACAAGGGGAAGAGAGGACTGATGGAAGGGGGATGGAAAAGGATGGAGCACGAGAGAGAAATTAGCAGGACGGGGGCTGGGAGCAGAAAACACGTGGCAGAGCCAGACGGGAAGATCGGGCGGGCAGACCCTAGCGGGCAGGTCGGGAAGGCGGGCCTGGGCGGCCAGGTCGAACAGGCGGGCTGCTGAAGCATGACTCCTGCATGAATCGCGAGGAAGTCTCGAGCGACAGCGCCATTCCCGAGTCAATCGTGAGAAAGGCCAAAGCGAGAGCGTGATTCCTGACTGTCGAGGGCGCAGCAACTGAATAATTTGCGAAGAAGTCCCACGCGAGAGCGCCATTCCTGTTTAAATTGTGAGGCAGTCCTGCGCGAGAGCGCGATTTCGGAACAACTTGTGAGGAAATCTCAAGCGGGAGCCGTTGTTGTTGTAGGCGGGGGGCCAGGGGCACAGTTTGAACAGGAAGACGTTCACCGAACCCCCCCCCCCAAAAAAAAACAGGGTGCGAGCCCCAAGGGGAGCACTTCAATTGAAAAAAAAAATCACCGGTGAAAGGGGATCAACCACAATTATCCTTCAAGGAGGAGAAGTCAACAACCCCAACCACAACAGCAGCAACAACTGCCACAAGAACAAAGACAGCACAACCAACAACAACGACAACAACAACAATCATTTGAACACTGACCGTTCCTATCTGCTCATGTGCCAATCAATACGTTATCCCAAACCCTTGGTACCCGCCCTAGTCGTCTTCGATCGTACCTCCTTGGGGGTATATCTTCCTTACCTGCCACGCGCATTGAGTGCAGCCCCTAAAACAAGTGAAGAGAAGACGGGTGGAAGAGAATGGAGCACGAGAGAATGGAGCAGAAAACAAATGTTAGAACCATACGGGCAAATCGGTTGGTCAGACCCACAGCGGGCAGGCAAGGAAGGCGGGCCCAGGCGACCAGGTCGAGCAGGCGGGTTGCTGAAGCGTGGGTCCTGCATGAATCGCAAGGAAGTCTCGAGCGACAGCGCGATTCCAAAGTAAATCATGTTAAAAGCCAAAACGACAGCGTGGTTCCTGAACGCCGAGGGCGCATCGTCTGAATAAACTGCGAGGAAGTCCCACGCGTGAGCGCGATTTGGGAATACACTGTGAGGAAGTATCAGGTGGGAGCCGCTGTTGTTGTTAACGGGGGGCTAACAACCCAGTTTGAGCCTTGCGACTTCCCCTGGCAAGGTGCGGGCCCCGGGGGAAGCACTCCAATTGAAAAAACATACACTGGTCACCAGAGGGGGGGATAGATAACAAGTATTCTTCAGTAGTGAAACTTTAACAAAACAAAAACAGCCCAACAAAACCAGCATTCCCGCTCGAGACTTCGTTTTGCTTTACGCTGGCCTAGCGCCCTACTCTCTTCAGCATTGGCGCCGCTCCCAGCAACGACAGCGGCCCTGCTCGAGACTTCCTCGCTTTCTATTCAGGGCCAGGTCCTTGCCTCGCCGCTGACAACCCCCATCCCCACCAAGGCAATCCTGTCGCTCGATACCTCCTTGTGCTTTACCTTTGGCTGGGGCTCCATTGGCGGTCCCGCATCGGCGCAGCAAGGCGCGGGCATGCGTTTCCGAGGCGGGATATGTTGAAATTCCTCGGCGGAGGTGTTTGCAAGACCTCATTGGGCGGGAGATCTGGGAATGGGAATAACGGGCCCCGCTATAGAACCGTAATCCCCTATGGTGGGGATGGTTATCATGATGGTCACATGCTTCGTGTGGAAACATCGCGCATGAGGGTAAAATGATTGTTGTTGTTGTCTTTGTTGTTGTTGAACACTCGTAACTGAAACATACATGTTGTTGCTCCCCCCTCCGGTGCAAATTATACGTTTCAATCCAAGTGCCCCTCCCGCGCTCGCACCCTGTTTTTGTGAAGGGGAAAATTCCTCCTCAAACTGTGTCGTTGGCCCCCCGGGTTACAACAGCAACAATACTTGTAAGACTGTTCGCTCTTATCTGCACGCGTGTCAATCAATATGCATATCCCAAACCCTGGATACCCGCCCTCTTCGCCATCGATCGTACCCCCTTTGAAGGGGTATATTCATTCCCTGCCACGTGTGGTTGGTGAAGCCCTTGAAAACGAAGGGCAACAGATAACCGGGGGAGAATGAGGACGAAGGGATCGGAGGAAGGGAGGGGAGGGGCAAGAAGGAGGGAAGACGATGATTTGCGCTGTGAGTGGCGAATCAGCTTGCGCCATGGCTTGCGCCAGAAGGGCAGCGAGAGGGCCACGAGGGGCGACAGCGGGGCTACGAAGGCCATGCGTATGGGGCCACGACGGGCGACTGCGAGCGGGGGCCACGAAGGGCATACAATGCGGGGCCACAATGGGCAGCGACGGGGCCACTGAGGGCAGCAACGGGGCCACGAAGGGCAGCGAGCGAAGGCGACCGCGGAACCAGTACGGGCAGCGAGGGGCATCGAAGGCGGGCGAAGGGCAGCGAGCGGCGACTGCAGTCCCTAGCGGGCTGGTCGGGCGGGCAGGCCTAGACGGGCGGGTCGAGCGGGCTGGTCGTTGAAGCGTAAATTCTGCTTGAGCGCAATTCCTGAGTGTCGAGGAGCGGCATCTGAATAAATTGCGAGGAGGTAAAAAGCGGGAGCCGCGATTCGGTGGTAAGTTGCGATGAAGTCTTAAGCGAGAGCGCGATTCTTCCATAAATAATGAGGAAGTATCAAGCGGGAGTCGCGACCAGGTGGTAAATTGCAAGAAAGTCCAAAGCGAGAGCGCGCTTCTTCAATAAATTGTGAGCAAGTATCAGGCGGGAGCCGTTGTTGTTGTAAACAGGGGGCCAACAGCGCAATTTGACCCTCAAAATTTTCCCTGATAAAAAACCGGGTGCGAGCCCCGGGAAGGGTACTTCAATCGAAAAAACAATGTGAACCGGACGGGGGGATCAACAATAATCACTCTTCGGAAATGAAAATTCAACGGCTCCCGCCTGAGACTTCCTCGCATTTTACCCTGGAATCGCGCTCTCGCTTGGGACCTCCTTACAATGTATTCCGGAATCGCTCTCTCGGCGCTCTGGAGTCGCGCTCTCGCTGGAGACTTGCTTGTGAACTACTCAACAAGAATAGCGCCCATGCGTTAGAATCCCCCGCAATGTACTCAAGCGCCGCGCACCCGACACTCACGCACCCAGGAGTCGCGCTCACACTTGGGACTCCCTCACAGATTACTTAGAATCGACATCTCGCTGCCCTTCGAGGCCCCATTGCAATCCTTCGAGGCCCCCTCGTTGCCATTCGCGGGCCCGTTGCAGCCTTTCGTGGCCCCCTCGCTGCCCGTCGCGGCCCCGTTGCAGCCCTTCGTGGCACCCTCGCTGCCCTTCGTGGCCCCGTTGCAGCTCTTCGCGGCACCCTCGCTGCCCTTCGTGGACCCGTTGCAGCCCCTCGTGGCCCCCTCGCTGCCCTTCGTGGCCCCGTTGCAGCCCTTCGTGGCCCCCTCGCTGCCCTTCGTGGGCCCGTTGCAGCCCTTCGTGGTCCCCTCGCTTTGTTTCGTGGCCCCGTTGCAGCCCTTCGTGGCCCCGATCGTTGCCCTTCGAGGCCCCGTTGCAGCCCCTCGTGGCCCCTCGCTGCCCTTCGTGGCCCCGTTGCAGCCCTTCGTGGCCCCCCCGCTGCCCTTCGTGACCCCGTTGCAACCCTTCGCGGCCCCCTCACCACCCTTCGTGGCCCCATATATGCACGCCCTTCGTGGCCCCCGCTCGTTCGCGCCCGTGGTGGCCCCATATGCGTGCCCTTCGTGGCCGGGCTCTCGCCCTTCGCGGCCCCCATCGCTGCCCTTCGTGGCCCCGTTGCTGCCCTTAGTGGCCCCGTTCTTGCCCTCCGCGGCCCAATATACGCATGCACTTCGTGGACCCCGCTCGTTCGCACCCGTCGCGGCCCCATGTGCATTCCCTTCGTGTCCCCGCTGTCGCCTTTCGTGGCCTACTTCGTGCCCTTCGTGGCCCTGCTGTCGTTCTCTCTCTCTCTCTCTCTCTCGCTTTCGCTTTCGCTCGTCGTCGCCGTCGTCAACGTGGGCGTCGTCGTCGTCGTCGCGGTCGGTCCCCTGTCCGTCCCTCTTGGGGTCGGGTTGCCGCCGATCACCGCTGCCGCTGGCCAGGCCGACGGTCCGCGGCTTCACCGCCGTTTGCTGGGGCAGGGGATGCAGGGAAGAACGGTATACCCCAAAAAAGGGGTACGATCGAAAACGAAATGGGCGGGTATCGAAGGTTAGGGAAATACGCGCTAACGGACATTCGAACAGATAACAGCGAACAGTCTTAAAATTA